AGTGAGGATCGGAGCAGGTGCCATCGGACGGGCTGTCAGTGAGTTGAGCCCAGGCGCCGCAGGCGGACAGGCAGCCCAACCGAGGTCCAGAGGGCCAAGGTGGGGCCGTCCCCAGGCAGTCCCCCTCCTCTGCACAAAGTGCTCTACCTTGAAACACTTGGGGCCTGTCCTCCAGCTCATCCTCAACTCAGGGGTTAGACAGTATGATAACCACTTGACAGCTGTGGAAACTGAGGCCCAGAGGAGCAGAGGGACTTGGTGGGTTAGAGCAGGGTGTGGTTAGAGTGTTGGACGCTCAGCGCTGAGCTTCCGAGCAGGGCAGGGCTCCTGGTGGAGTCCACTGAGACCCTCTCATCTTCTTCTTTACAGGCCTGTAATCCTGCATCTGCTCTGGGCCCTGGGCCTGGGCTAGGCCCTAACGCCCATTGTTTGGAGCCCCTGACTTTCCAAACCCAGGCTCCTTTCCTACAAGATGTGCTCCGGGAAGACAAGGTGGCCAGGTGCCTCTATGTGCCCTCGAGCATGTCCCTGACCTTCACTGAGCCTCAGTTTTCTCACCTGTGAACTAGGGACAGTGGTAGACCCCCTCATGGGGATAATGCAGGTGAAACAAGGCAGAGCGTGTCAACTGCTTAGACAGTGGAGTGCAGGAAGCACTGAGTAAGTGTCGGCTGCGGTTTTTCTTTCCGTTCCTGCTATAGCTACTGCTCTTAGCCTGCAGAGGTGCTGGGAGAAGGGGGCTTCCTGGAAGAGGCAGAGAATATATACTAGAGAAACCCCGGGAGCAGCAGCAGCAGGCGGCAGTGATGGGGGGACCCATGGGGGGCCTCATCCTGGCCAGTGGCTGAATCTTGCAGTCTTAAGTCAGGGACTTTCAAAGCTTGAGGGTCCTCAGCAAGCAGTGTGTGCAGGTGGGAAACTGAGTCCCAGCATGAAAGGGCTGGGCCCCTGGTGACCTAGTGAGCTGGGCCAGGGCTCCCCACCCAGCTCTCACTGTGGGCAGCCGAATGAAAGAGGTCTATTCTGAAGGCACATCTTCTTTGCTCGGGCACAGGGAGTTCCGTTCTGCTCCCAGTGTGAAGGCCCAGGCCCCGTGGCTCTGAGACTCTGTGGCGCCCTGGCCACATGGAGCCACCTCAGCTCCCCTTTGCCCCTCCTGGGCCGTGGCTCCGGCATTCCACAGCAACAAGGAAGCTGTTCCCCAAATGCTGTTAAAACTCCTCCTCCAGGAAGTCTGCCCTACGTGAAGGCAGAGCAGCATGTGGTGGGAGCGTGGGCTCTGGGACCACATTACCTGATTTATATCCCAGACCAACCGCTTAGTGTAGGGCTCATCTTGAAGCCTCAGTGGCCCCATCTGTACAATGGGACCAAAAGGGAAGTGTCAGGAGAAAGAGCAGTGGACTTGGAGTCGGGGTCTGGGTGCCGACGCCAGCTCCACTGTCCTGGCTTTGTGTCCCGGACAGGACTTACCATCCTGGCCTCCGTGTCCTGGTCTCTATGTGGGGATGATAATCCTGCCTCCCTTGGCACGGGCTGGGGTAGAAGTGACTGTGCAGATGGTGGGGCCCCAGGTGGGTGGAGAGCGTCCGGTCACCTTGTTTGGCCAGCACCACGACCTGCGAGGGCACCACGATGCAGACACCGTGGCTTGGGGTGGGTGGGGGAAAGGGGTGAGGTCACCAGGCGGCAGAGCCCATCCTCGGACCCAGGCTGGCTGCGAACCCCTCCCTCCTTCCACTGGCTCACAGGAGTATCTCTAGACACATAGTGCACAGTGTGACTCAGAAAAGGGACTTTATTAGCCAGTGGCGATAACAACAAGGCCTGAGGTTTTGCACCAGCTTTCGTGTAACCCCACGGGCTCACTTCAAGCTTGTGGTTGACTAAGACACCCAGATCCTTTGCACCTGAGCTGCTGTCAGGTCAGTCTGCCGTCTCCAGATCTATCGAGCCGGCTTCCTGCCTGTTGAGCGTGTTCTGACTTCATTGATGCCCCAGCTCATCCACATGGCCTTGCTGTTTTCAGTGGCCTCGGCAGCAAGGGCAGCAGCATTTCCTCCAAGGCCGATCAGGACTGAGGCCAAGCCATCCGGCACTTCCCTACAGACCATGTCCTGAGGGGTATCCATTAGCCAGTCCTCGATGGCTAAGGTTAGACAACCAACCAGCAAATGAAGTCCCAAACTTGGAGGATGCAAACTGGCAGCCCCTGAACAGGGCATGTTCTACAAAGTGGTTGAGTTACTTTGTTGTTGTTTTCAGTATTCAAATTAATTGCCAACACAGAAAATATGGGAGGTTTCACATAAAAGCAGGTTTATGGCTTCTGGTAAACTGGAAGCTCTGGCAACACTGGGTCCACCCCCTCCAGGGCACCAGTCAGCTGGACTGGATGGCAACTGCCCCTTCTACAAGGCCCACCCTCTCCAGTCTGCCCCAGGCCCTACCCATCCCATGGGCCTCATTTATGTGATTTGCCCAGCCCCCATAGTCATCTAACCTGGTGGCCTCAGCTCCAGCCAAACTAACCCCAGCCAACGTTTTTCCTGTTGCCAAGGGTCCTGGGAGGCAGCAGTGGGGGGCCCGGCTGGGAGCCAGGTGGTCTAATTTTGGCTGCTGAGTGTCCCATGGGCTCGGGCCTGGGGCCTCGGAGGAGGAGGAAGTGGGTCCCTGGTTCTTGGTGACTTGCTGAGCCCACTGAGGCTCCCAGGACAACCTGTTCCATTTCTAAGGGCTCTCAGATGCCTATTTGAGCTTGTGACAGGGGTGTGTAGCGAGACTAGGGACCTGTGGGTACCAGAATCCATTGCAACCCCCTTTTGAAAATCAGAAATCAGGCCCATTCTGAAGCCTCCACCTCTGTCCCCTCACTCCCAATGGCAGTGAAGAGTCATCTCACACTTTCCAGGCCCCTAGGACGCCATTTTCCAAGCCTCAGCAAGCATGGTGAGGAGTTTTGTTTTATCTCCCACTACCTCTCTCTCCTCCTTCTTTCTCTGTCAATCTAGAAGATTCCTCGTGTCACTGAAGACCCCAGGACTCAGGCAAGCCTTCCCCTCTCCCTTAGCCCCTCCCCACACTTCTTTTCCAAGGATCCCAAGTCTAAGACATCCTCCCTCTTTCCTCGCTGTGTGACCTCGGGCAAGCTTCTTCACCTCTCTGAACTGCAGTTCTCTTGTCTGTAAAAAGAGGACCAGGCCCACCTGTCTGCCTGGCCTCCTCCCTCAGGGTCAGGTGGAGCCGAACGGGCCAACCTCGGCTGACAGGCTGATCAGGAGAGCCCAGGAATGTCCGGTCCTCTCAGTGAGGAGTCTTATAACAGAGTGTCTGCCCTGGAGAAATCCCCCGACACAAGGAGGTGTGTGAACAGAGATATTCCTGGGAGTCCTGCATGCAGGGGGGTCATTTGGAAGCGAGCTAAGTGTCCATCTGAGAGGAACAGCTGAGGGGACCGTGGCCTCCAGGGGATGTGACAAGCAGGAACGAGGGACACCCACAGGCTTAGTGAGGCCACCCCGCCCCCACCTGTTGCCCCTCACTGTGCCCCAGGGTGGGCTCCCGAGGTTTTGCGGGAACTCTGTTGTTTCTCTGGGGCTGGGTTACTCTCTCCATCTATTAGATAAGGAAACTGAGGTGGCCCCCCAGGTGTGCTACTGAAAGAGCAAGTTAGAGAATGATACAGCCAGGCTGAGACCATTCAAGAAAGTTCTGTGAGAAACTTGCTCTGTGTTTTGCATGCACATGAAACCAAAAAAAGGCTGGAAAGAAAGACCTCCAAATTGATCACGTGGGGATTTCTGGGCAGGGGTTTAGGGTGGGTCAGAGGGGCCATTAGCCTCACCTGTAATGCTTTTATTTTTGTAGCTATTCATATTTTGCTTGTGAAATGTAAAATGAGTAAGTGAAAAAGTGGTGTGTGTGTGTGTGTGTGTGTGTGTGTGTGTGAGAGAGAGAGAGAGAGAGAGAGAGAGAAGCTATTCATATTTTGCTTGTGAAATGTAAAATGAGTAAGTGAAAAAGTGGTGTGTGTGTGTGTGTGTGTGTGTGTGTGTGTGAGAGAGAGAGAGAGAGAGAGAGAGAGAGAGAGAAAGAGAGAGAGAGAGAGAGAGAGAGAGAGAGAGAGAGAAAGGGGGTGGTCTCTGCAAGCCTGATGTCATTCAAGAAGCCTTGAGGGTGGCCTTGGCTGGCTGCTTAAAGGCAACGGCATGGCCATCTTGACCCTGCCAACTCCTCCAGGGTCTCAGAGACGAGGCTGGGGTCCTTCCTGTGTGGGCCGTGGCAGAGGGATACTGGGAAATGCTGGCGGTTTCTCCAAGTGTGATGCCCAAGCCAGGTGCACTGGTCCCCTGTCCCCAGCTTCGGGACAGAGATGGGAGTCCAGCCCCTCACACAGCGCCCCACTCCACTTCCCAGCATCGTGGTGAATTTCCCCTCCTGTCTGAGACCCAGAGGGGAGAAGGCATGTGCTGGGGGTCCCAGGGTAGCTCTGGGCTAGAGAAGCCAGCATTCCCATTCCGGGGCCATCTCCCATTCCTCTTGCAGATGTGAATGGCAGGCAGGATGGATGCTGGGGGGCAGACAGTGGCAGCATCCCTGGGTTCTCTCCCTGCCTCCCATGGGAGCCTGCTTAAGCCCCTTTCCCATGCCTGTTGCCTCAGATTCCCCTTCTGCCAAAAAGCATAACGTAGAGGTGTAGGTCGCAGGCTTTGATTTGAACCCTGAGTTCAAATCTTAACTCCACAGCTTACTGGCTCTGTGGCCTGGAACCTCTTTGAGCCTCACCTGTGGCATAAGAAGGTAGGAGTGAGATGATGGCAGCCCCAGGGCAGCACGTACTGACCATTCTCTGTTCAGAAGAGACATCGGTAGTGGCCTATGGGTTCTCCCTGCAGAGGCCTAAGGGTAGACCTCAGGGAGAACTTCCCAGCAGAGCAAGGCATTTCTGCCCCACTGAGACTCTCGGGGACCAGCTTCTCACAGGCTCTCATGTTCTGCAGGGCATCGACAGAAGCTGGAGGACCAGACCAAGGCGTTCCCCGACCGCTTCGGGGACCTGGAGCGCCTGCGCATGCGGGTGACGCCGAGCACGCCCAGCCCCCGTGGCTCGCTCAGCACCACCAGCCACTTCAGCAGCCAGGCCCAGACCCCCATCCAAGGTACGGCACAGGGAGGTGGGAGCTGCGGTGGGAGAAGGGGACGGGGGCCTGGAAGTGGTCTCTCTGCTCTAGACCAAAAGCTCATCCCAGGGTCGTTGGCTGCACCACCCTGTTGTTTGTTATAAAGGAATGCGGCCTGCTCTGAGGGCCTGCTCTGCCCGGTCCTGGGCTCAGCCCTTCCTTCATTCATTCAGCAAACATTTATTGCCACTCACCCTGTGCCGTCGTGGTGCCTGGCCCCAGGGATGAATAGACAGGCACAGTCCCTGCCCTCCAGGGGCTCCCTGTGCCCTGCGGGAAATGGGTATGAGTCCGCCAGTACACCCGTTAAAGTTGGGCAGGCCTCGCCCAAGGAGCCTGAGGCAGACACATGTCTGCCAAGGACACCACAGCCCCCCAGGCCTCAGCTTTCTCATCTGAAAGCGGGGTGGTGGTGGATGCCTCTGCCTGGGCCTCGGGTGACATTCAAATGACGTTACTGCACTCAAACTTTGTAAACTGTGAAGTGAATTTGTCCCTGGAGAGAGACAGAGCATCTCCTGAGAAAGGTCCCCACCTGGCCCAGAGACTCTTCCCAAACAGGAAGGAGGAGGGAGGCCTCTGGGCGGAGGCCCAGGATGGAGTCTTTACCCCTTGGCCAGATGGACACGGCAAGGCACGTGTGAGCCTAGGTCTCGGGCAGGCCGTCCAGGTGTACAGGGCCTGGCACATAGCAGGTGCTCAGTAGGTGGTCAAATGGCGAATATCTACCCTGCTGTCTAGGTTCTCTTGGCCAGCGGGTTGGGGTGCAGGAGGCTGAGTGCACAGCTGACCCTCAGGCCAGGCAGGGACGGAGAGTGCTCGCCAGCAGTGCTGGACGCGGCCAGAAAGGCTGGCTGCTGCTGTCATGCACCGTGGGTGTCTGTTCTTTCTTGGTCCTCCGGGCCCTGGTTAGAACCCGTTTGGCAGATGAGTGAATTGAGGCTTAAGAGGTTAAGGGCCACTCTTGGGTCACACAGCACATCAATGACCAGGTTCAAAGTGTCCACAGCACCTGCCCCCAGGAACTTCCTGTACTTCTGAGGGCACAAGCGAGGGAGTCCCTACTGGGTCTCTCCATTAAGGGAGGCCCTGCCCCCAGCCTTGGCCATGGCAGGGGGACTTGATGCAGCCCCCTGGTGTGAAGAGACGGTACCTCCCTTCTGGCCCGGGAAGCTGGGCCTTGGCCGTGCTGAGCACCCAAGGTGGGGAGAGGCCCCAGGCCCAGGCTCTTAGCCACGGGCTGTCGAGTTTGAAACACTCAGCAACTCTTGAGCCAAGGGGGCTTCAGGGTGGAGGGGTCTGAGCTCATGAGGCAATAAGAGGTCCTCTGGGCTCATGCCCACCCCTGCCCAGAAGCTGTCCACGCTCCCCTTCCCGGCAGGCCAGCCTTTGTGCAGGTACAGTGGTCTAACACTCCAGGCCTTTCCCTGACATGGGCAGAGCTGGGGCCCAGCCAGGGGGCCCTGGAACCCAGCAGGTGTGGGCTAACAGTGGCGTCCTGTCCAGCAGCTCCTGTGGAAGGAGAACCCACCTCTCTTTCCACTTGTGTGGACATGGCTTGGGAATCAGCACCTGCTGGAGCCTGAGGCAGGCCTACCCACCCTCTGTCCAGCCCCAGAGGGCCAGGCCTAGCCCAGCAGCAGGCAGAGCCCCTGCCTCCCCCGAGGCTGGGAGGAGAGGAGGTTGGGCCTGTGTGGGTTAGTGGCTGACCCAGTCCTTCCCCTTCTGCTGTACCCTGAGGCAGGGTGCTCGCTAGCCACCCACAGCAGTGGACTTCAGGCAGCCTCTGCGGCCCTTCACACCAGCCAGGCCTCCCCGTCCTCAGGCCTGTCCCCTTTGGAGTGAGAGGAAGGGCTTTTGACAACCAAGACCAAGGAAGGAACGTGAACTTTGCTGTCAGGTGGACCTGGCTAGGAATTCGGGCTCTGCCAGGCACTGGCTGTGTGATCTTAGGCAAGTTGCTTCACCTCTCTGAGCCTCAGTTTTCTCATCTGTAAAGTGGGAAGAAGGAGGTATCTGTCACAGGGGTGTTGGTAGGGCCAGGCTTGGGGAGTCCCTCTCACTGGCCCTCCCCTCCTGGTGGGACAAGCCTCTACTTTCAGACTCCATCCTGGGGGTCCCCCTCAGGATACCCCACCACCACTTCTCTTGGTTCCTGTTAATAGCTTTGACCCCCCAGCTTTGGTGACTGGCAAGCAGTGCCGAGGCCCCAACCCCTCCGTACCCCAGCCCCCAGTCCCCTGGCTGTGACCGCCCACAATGGGGGCTTCTCACAGCTCAAAGGCCTCATTCAGCCACCACACAGCAGCTGGGGCAATTTGGAGAAGAAAATAAACATTTCCTTCCAGTGTTGGGATTGGCTGCTCGACAACGGCCTGGCCAGCTCGGGTTTCTTGGGGCTACTGGGCTGGAGGGGGTGGGGCTGGGGGCAGGAGCTGAGGGGGTGCTGAGGGCAGACGCTCCCCCCACCCTGGGAGGTAGGCAGGAGAGGACGGTGAGAGGGCCGGGCAGGCCTGCCCGCAGCCCACATGACCCCCAAGGGCCACACGCACTCAGGCCCACCTGGCACGGCCTTGTTTCCCGGGCTCCCTGGGAAACAAGGCCATCGCATCCTGGGCTCCCTGTTTGGGCTCCCTTTGTTTTGCAAAAGGGGTTCCTGTCAGGTGACAGCGCTCGCTTCCCTGGGCTCAGGGCAAGGTGTTAGCCTCATGCTTGGCTGTGCTTGGGGTGCCAGGCACTGCCAGCAAGGCTCCTCCCCCGGGGTTCAGAGATGAGGGCAGGAGCCAGGCTCCTCTGACCCTCTAGGCTTCAGGGCAGCACTGACCAGCCAAGGGATCTGTTAGGGAGGGTCCAGATGTGCCAGAAGGCCCCCGTCTCCCGGCCCCTAGCCCCCACATCTCCCCACCTGGACCCCAGAGCCTCATCCCGTATCATCCATATCCGGGACCAGAGCCTGCTGCTGAGGAAACACGCCCCGCAGCTGAGCTGGGAAGACCCCAAAGTCCAGAGAAGTTACAAATCTTATCTGAGGTCACACAGCACCTCAAGCAGATCTGGGGAAGTGAGGCCTGAGGGCACCTGCAGCTCTAGCCTCAGCCACGCCTCAGGCACGGCAGGCAGTGCACACCTGGAGCTGGCCAGGGGCAGAGGCAGGCCTCCTCCTGAGCCCTCTCTGGCCCCTAGTCTTTAGTGGACAGAGGGCTTAGGAACAGACAGACTTTAGACTGCTGCTGGGGGCTCATCCACCTCCCCACTGCTGCCCAGAGTCACCCCTTTGGCCAGGGTACAAGGAAGGCCCGGGGTCAGGGGCTCATCTTTGCAGGGCCCTGAATGAGCCGGTTCTCCTGAGTGCCCAGAACAGGAGGTGTCACAGCTGCAGTGGCAGCACAAACCCTCATCAGGCCCCTGCTGTGTGCCCCATGTAGGCACTTTACATGTATTAACTAATTTAATCCCTAGGAACTGTTATTGTCTCCATTTTTCATGTGGAACAACTTGATGCACAGAGAGGTTTAGTGACTTGCCCAAGGACACACAGCTAGTAAGTGTCAGAACTAAGATAAGTATCCGACCTCAGAGACCACACAGTTAACCTTCAGTCTGTGCTGCCTCAAAGATGGGACAGTTACCCTTCAGGCACGTGTCAGAACTCAGGACTGAGAGCCCTAGGATTCTGTGTAGGTCCAATGTGCTGTGTGACACTTAGGCAAGTGCCTCACCCTCTCTGAGTTTCAGTCTTCCTACCAAGGGGTTTAGACTCAATCCTGAAGCCCCTTTGAGTGTTGAGGTTTGGGGGAGGTCTGTGATTACAAAAGTACGGGGCAGAGGCTGGGATACTTTTGTCTTGGAGCCAACTCCTGGGGGAGCCAGGGTGGGGCCTGGGCTGGACACTGGGTCTCTCTGTGACAAGGGCAGGGTCCAGGCCACCAAGCCCCTCTGGCTGCCGTCTGTCTCGCTTTGCTGTGGAGGCGGGTGAGGGTGGCATCTGGCCACCAGTCAGCTCCAGCCTGCAGGGCAGCCCTGGAGACACAGGCCCAGGCTGAGGCCGGGGTGGGGGGTGGTGGGGGGTGGTGGGGGATGGACAGAGCTGCCGTGGACCCAGCTCCCACAGCACAGGCGGAAGCTCCCGTAACCTAACTGAGCCCCACCTGGGCAGGAGAGGTGCAGGCACACGCGCATGTACACCCCAGTGGGAGCAGAAAGCAGAGGGCTCGTGATGAGTTCCAGTCCTTTCTGTGCACAATCAGGAGAAGCCATCTTTCTCTCTCTGCCTGGTTCCTCGTCTGCGAGAGCAGGGCCTGACTCCCAATCTCACGGGACCGGGACCGTTGGAGACCCTCTACCGAGAGCGAGAGAGGGAGGGCGAACCTGCCGGGCCAGGCTGTTGGGCGGCCTGTGCTGGCCCCGCCCTTGGCTCCCCACGCACCCACAGCCCAGCGGGGAGCCCACCTGCCCCCTCGACAGGCCTCTGCACGGCTAGGCTGGGAAGAGGATGCCGGGAGGAGAGAAAAGCCCTCCCCCTCCTCTGCCTGCCCCGGCAGCGCCCGGGGCCACCCACAGCCCAGACCCCTGCTCGCACCTGCTTCCCAGGGGGGGCCAGATTGGGAATCAGCAGGCTCCAGCCCCCGAGCAGCTCAGGGCGGTGGGAGCAGAACCACATGTAGCACCAGGGATCCCCCAGATGGGCCTGTAAACCAGAGCCCGAGGTCATTCTTGAAGAAAGGCCGCCGGGGTGGTGTCGGGCAGTGACTGACCATCCTCCTTGCTGTCCCCCAGGCACCTCCGACCTGAACCCTTTCCCCGACCCCCGCCAGTTTGACCGCTCCTTCGCAGCGCTGCCGACCCTCCCGGAGAGCCGCTTCCCCGACCCCCGGATGCATTACCCAGGGGCCATGTCGGCCGCCTTCCCCTACAGCGCCACACCCTCGGGCACGAGCATCGGCAGCCTCAGCGTGGCCAGCATGCCGGCCACCGGCCGCTTCCACCACACCTACCTCCCACCGCCCTACCCGGGGGCCCCGCAGAACCAGAGCGGGCCCTTCCAGGCCAGCCCTTCCCCCTACCACCTCTACTACGGCGCATCCTCCAGCTCCTACCAGTTCTCCATGGTGGCTGGCAGCAGCAGCGCTGGCGACCGCTCGCCCACCCGCATGCTGGCCTCCTGCCCCAGCAGCGCCGCCTCTGTCGCCACCGGCAACCTCATGAACCCCAGCCTGGGTGGCCAGAGCGACGGCGTGGAGGCCGATGGCAGCCACAGCAACTCGCCTACCGCCCTGAGCACGCCCGGCCGCATGGACGAGGCCGTGTGGCGGCCCTACTGACCGCCCGGGTCCAAGTGGACTGCTCCCGCTGGTGGCGGGGACCCCAAGAACCTTCCAGACAAGTGGCGGGCCCAGCTCCAAGGCTCAGGGCACTCATGAGACTTAACGCTTCACGGCAGCTGTGGGCCCAGGGTTCATGGTCCTGGGGCCCAGAGCTGGTAGCTGGCTCTGAGAGCATCTGGTCCAGCCACGTCTTTGTACAGAGGGGTCGGGAGCTCCCCCAGGACCCCACCCCTAGCCCAGATCCTACTCATCTCATCCCACGTCCCTGTGCGAGAAGCAGCCTCCTCCTGCCACCCCCCCGGGATGACCTGGCTGTCCCCAGCTATGCCCACTGCTGTCACGGGGCCCAGGCCTCCTGGGACAGAGACCATCTCTGTTCTAGGGCGAGGCAGCACTTGCCCACATGGTTTGGCCTCTTATCCTCGGGACCCTAGAAAGACCTCCCCACCCTTGCCTTCCTCAGAGACCCCACACCCTGTGGGCCCAGCCCTCCCTCTGCATTTACACAAGTTTAGTCACAACTGGAAGGTCCCCCAGCCCTGAGAGGGGCTCACTGATGGTTTGGATGGGGAAGGAACCCCTCCAGAGGCCCCAGGGAATCGCTAGCAGAGATGGAATGAGGATACCCCCAGGCCCGCCCCCCAGCTCTG